TACGATACAATTATAAAAGTTGATGAATTAATTATCGACGTACGCGAAGTCACAGAAGAAGGTGAGTGATTTTGTGCGTGGTAAAAAATAAAATGAAACTACGATGGTTATATGCTTAGGTACTTTTTATTCACTTTGAAAGTTTCACATATACACGTTAATTGTGAACGACATAATTCTTCGGTTCTATTTTTGTATCTCTCAATTTATTTTTTATCCTTTCCTTCACTGCTCTGAAAATATAAATGTAAGACAGTCAATAAAAAATCCTACTTTCTATAACATAGTTACAACGTAAACAATAAACTAACTCTTTCTCTTTCTTTACAACTCCTAATTCTTCTTGAGTTTCTACTTCGTCGTCACTTTCCCAATCGCCATTATGGTCTTCCTTCCATCTTTTATTTGCAAGTCCAGGTGGTTCAACAGTTGGTTGTGAGCTTAATTTTGGATCAGTTAAATGATCATAAGCTCATTTGTCCTTACCACTAAACTTTTTATTTAATATCAAAGATTCTTTTTCATCTACCTCTGCTTCTTCACCAAATGATAAAAGATTAAAAAATCTCTGTAACAAAATTTTTCATTGTAAAGAATACTACTATCAGGGCTAAATTCTACAAACATATATGATTTTTATATTACTGCTGCTGTTTTAGTTTTTGAATTGTCCTTTATTTCTTCACTTTCCTGTACTATTATTCTTGGTATAATATCAGAAAATGAATTGTTCAATATTATAGTTTCTATCAATCTTGAAGAATAAAGTGATCTATCATTCTACAAAAAAGAGGAAATATTATATTTATATCAATTCGTGATATATTTTCTTGTATACATTAAATTTACCTCATCTACAAGTGCTTCTACAAGTTTAAGCATGTTATATATAGTTTCTCCAGTAACTTTACCAAAGATTGTATGTTTATTCTGCAAATCTAATATAGAACTAAGAGTAAAGAAGAATTGGGAACCATTGTCATCTTTTCAGCATTAGCCATAGCAATTAAATCTCGTCGACAAAAACGTAATCTTGTATGAAATTCGTCCTAAAACACATATATCCAATAATTATTTTTAAATAAAAAAGGAATTCATTTTATTTTTAAATATAGTCTCATTTTAAATGGTTCTCCATGTATTTTACCACCTTCTCCTGTACCTATGGGATCACTATCTTGTGTTATGAATCCTTGGATAATTCTATGAAATATAGTGTCATCCTAATAACCTTCCACACATAATTGTATGAAATTTTTACATGTCTTTGGAGTTTCTTTTGCCCATAATTCTAACTCAATATCACCAACAGTTGTTTTCATTATAACCTAGTTATAACAAATATATTAGTTTAATTAATGTAAAATACTTTTAAAAACAAATTTATTAAAATTTATTATTGTAATTCAATTTAGAAATTATTTAATATATTAATTTAGAAATTTAGAAAGTAAATATTGTGTATCGGTTAAATTTTTAAAA